ATGGCAGTGCTCTGCCACCTGCTGTCCCTACTGCTTTATTCACACTCTGACTGGCTGCCGAGACAGTCATTCAGAGTGTGAATAAAGCGTTACGGACAGACAGACTAAGGCTTTTATATATATATATATATATATATATATATATATTCTGTTAAAGTATGTAGCAGAAACTTTTATGGCATGAGCACCCTCGCATTCTCTTCTGGAAATGCTAGCTGAAAGCTTCATCTGCGACTGAAACAATAATCCTGGTTATAGTCATTCTGTGTTTTATTTATTTATATTTGTATTTTCTGGTAAGTATATTTACTTATTTATATTTTATTATTTAAAAGCAAAATATTTCTATAAAGCTATCATGCTCTAAATATCCCATATATTAAAATATACACACATGCATGTGTGCGCATGCACACATCTGTTGTTTCCATTTTATATAACTTTTGTTCCCTCTTTTGCCTTGAGATGTTGAACATTTCATTAACAATAGGGCTCCCCACTCCATTCTGTTACTCAGAATTTCTGCTGCTCAAAATTTTTGCTGGATCTCATCAGCATTCCATCTTTCTTGTTTAAGATCTGCTAATTATAGTTTCATAGTTGGTAGGGTTGGAGGGGACCCGAGCAGATCAAGTCTGACACCCTGCCACGGCAGGAAAGAGGACTGGGGTCAAATGACCCCGGCAAGATGTTCATCTAGCCTCCTTTTAAAGACCCCCAGGGTAGGAGACAGCACCACTTCTCTTGGAAGTTGGTTCCAGATCCTAGCCGCCCTAACTGAAGTAGCACCTCCAGATATCTAGCCTGAATCTACACTCTGACAGCTTGTGACCGTTATTTCTTGTCAGTTCTAGTAGTGCTCGGGGGAACAGGGACTCCCCCAATACCTGCTGTTTCCCTCTGACTAGTTTGTAAACAGCCACTAGATCTCCCCTCAGCCTTCTCTTGTGGAGGCTGAACAGCCTCTCCTCGTAGGGCCTGGGTTTTTTTCTATTGTTCTATTGTTCCTCTCACTTGCAGCCTCTATCATTTAAGGTCTAGGAAGTTCTGATTCAGAGACTGTACCCCAAGCTCCCATGCTGAATAGCTACTGATGCCCCTTTCCTGCAAGAATTTTTCCAGCCCCTTTTTGAATCTGGCTAAACTGTCAGCTTCCACAGCATCTGGTGGCAGTGAGTTCCACACTTCAATTGCATGCTGTGTGAAAAAGAACTTCCTTTTGTTAGTTTTGAACTTACTATTAGTTTCTTTTTGTGACCGCTAGTTCTTGTATTGTGAGAGAAAGTAAATAGTAAATCCCTATTACTTTCTCTTTGTTATTTAGTAATTTGTAAATCCATATTATGCCCCCCCCTTACCAAGAATCTATTTTTTTAAAGTGAATAAACCTAGCCTCTTCAGTGTCTCCACATTTGGAAGCCTCTCTGTACCACTAATCCTCCTTGTTGTACTTCTCTGTACCTTCTCTAGTTTTTCTGTATCCTTTTTGAGGTGTGGGGAACAGAAGTAGACACAGAACTCAAGATGTGGATGCACCATAGATTTATAAGAAACTCCAGTAAGAAATCTTCAAAAACAAAGCATGCTAAAGCTATATGCTGCCATTTGTAACCCAGTGTAACCATATTGCTTTAATTAATTTAAATCTCTTTGTTTCCTGATAGACAAGAGAAGCACTTCTTAAAATATTAGATGATATTAAAGGAGATGACTACTTCAATTTCATATTATTTGGTTCAGTTATATACACTTGGAAAGACACATTAGTTAAAGCCACTGCAGAGAATCTGGAAGAAGCAAGGAAATTTGTTCGTGCTATTGACACTGAAGGTGGTAGGTATTGTAGCAAAGTTCTCAGTAAGTAAGATGGCTGAATAAAATAATATGCAAATTCAGTCTGAGAATGAACTGCTAAAACTTTAGTCTAATAAGTAATGATTAAGAAGCACTGCTATAGTTGCATTTGTTTTTGAATTCTAGGAGGGATTTAACAACTTTCAGAGAGAAAACTTGATAGAAGACAAGTTTGAAACATAAAGTACAAGCCCTCCTTACCCTAATATTGCATATGAGTTATTAGACTTTAAGTTATTAGCAGGGATCTTGGTTTCCTTTGTTTAAAAAAATCGCAATTATCTGATTTAAAAAAAAAGTGCAAATTCTCTGATTAAAAAGCCCAAATGCTTTTTTTGGCATGATTACAATGAAACACCACTATAGTGTGTGTGTGTGTATGTGTGTGTAGATATATATATATATATATATATCAACCAATATTTGTTTGATGTTTATTGATATATTTAAACATCATTATGTTTGAATTGATATATTTTATTGGTATATTTGCAATTTTAAAGCAATTTGAAAGCCTACTAGTGTCTCAATCACTATAATAAAATAAATTCTAAATTCCTGTAAATGTTGGCATTTTATTTAGGGTTTTTTATCATGGAAAATGAGAGCGCCCCCTGCCCCATTCACTCACCAGGACAGGGGTCCAGCTGCAGCTGTCCACCCCGCTTCCCCTCCAGCTACTTTGTGGCATTGAGCAACTCTGATATACTGGTGCCCTGCCCATGAATTGCCCCTCACTCCCAACCTGTAGCCCCCCAGCCCTGCTGGTGCTCTTCACTCCCCACCAACAGCCTCCCCCCAGCCCTGCCAGAGGGGTCCCCTGCGCTCGGGCTACGGCGCCAGGGACCTAGGTTTTCAGGGTTGGAGCTGCCCACCCTGCTGCCCTCCCCCTGGGGCCTTTGCAGCTTAGCAGGCAAGACTGCCCCGGCTTCCCTGGATGAGGCTCCTGCAGCTCCATCCCACTCCCCTCCCAAGCCCTGTGGCTGAGCATTTGGCCCCAGGCTCCAAGCTCTACACACTGCCCAACTCCCTCCCACCCTGACTATAGGGTCCTCAATCCCCCCACCCCTGTGCCAGACTTACATGTGGGAGCTGCTCTCCAGGCTGCCTGGTGGCCATGTGCATGTGTATGTGTGTTCCTGCACATGGTGCCCCCTGCTGATCATCCTCCTCCCACTCCCCCCCAGCCTGGAACTCTGTGAGCCTGCAAGGGGGAACCCACTGTTTCCCACGTTTTTTTCCTTCACAGGAGAAAATCCTGGTTTTTCTCCTTAAAGTGGGGAAATCTGCATTTTATTACATTTTTTCATGGTGAACAGAAAACTTGGCTTCCTGGTAATTCGTATTTTGCACAGAGAGATGCTTATTGACAACATGAGCAATTGGGGAATGAATCCATCAGTCATTCATAACTCCTAAGTAGTTTGTCATAATGTCTGCCGGTGTACCCTGAGGCAGCAGAGTTCAACATGAGTCACAGAGAGCCCCTTACAGGAAGCGGGGATGAGGGAGAGAGCAGTCTATCCTGGGTTGATGGAGAAACTAATCAAACACTATTATTCTGTGTGTGGCATGCCAGGCATTAAGATTAAACATTGATAAACTAACAGCTTTGCAGTCACACAAACACAAGCTTCAGTCTCAAATCATCAGTAACTATGTCAGGAAAACTAAACATTCCACGCATAAGGTGTGACGGAAACTCCTTGTTTGTTCCTTCCAAATCCATTAACTTTCACAGAGGCCATAAATTAGCCCCTGCATAACTATTGAGATATTTTTAAGTTTAGCATTTACCCAAAACAGGACACCTTTTATTTTCTAGGTTTCAAAACCTGTGTAATGTCATAATTTAGTCATGCACCTTCGTATAAAACCAAATCCTTCCTCTCGAATTTTAATTGTATCTTATGAATTAAACTGCATATAGATGCCAAAAGGCCAAAACTGCCTGGATGTTTCCTTAAAATGTTTAATATGTTTTTAAACCAAAATTGTATCTCTACCTTGCAGCAACAAACCTGCATGGTGGTTTAATGAGGGGAATTGAAATGCTGAATACTGCTTATGAAAAAAATATCGTGCCCCAGAGAAGTACTTCTATAATTATAATGTTAACAGATGGCCAACCTAATGTAGGTAAGTGTTCTAATAGATAAAACAACAGTAAAATAGAGATAAGTAGGTGAAGGAAAACCATGAAGATAATTTCCCAGTCTTTCACTTCCAGAGGCATAAGACCTTATTATCCATTGATTTCAATAGTATTACAATGGTGTGAACCCTGAATAGCAAAGTAGAGAAACAGGCCTCTGGTTCCAGTTTTTGATTCACTCTCTACTACATACTGCATTTACTTGAATCTAAGGTAAGGTTTATTTCCCCAGTCAGCAAAAGGGGGTGGTGAGTCCTTTGTCTTAAATTTGCATACAAAGCAAGGTGGCTGCTGTGGCTCTGACTCTGGTCCTGAGCTCAGGATGGGACCAGAGATAGAGCTACAGCAACTTCCTGCCCCCTTCTCTGCTTGCCCCTTGCAGCTTTTGCCCCTTCTCCTTCCCCCAATGCCTCGTTTTCCCTGCCTCCCTCTTACTATCAGCTATAGCTTGGCTCTGGCTTGGACAGGTTTCCCTCCTGGGCATGAAGCACATAGAAACTCTGTCCCCTACCCAGCCAGTCAGCAGTGCTGACTCTGCTGCACGGCACAGGAAAGGATGAGCTTGCATGTGCTGTGCTCTGGGCAGGAATATTCTGAGCAGCATCTGACAGTAAGGGCACAGGGAGAGAGGCAAAGACTTCAGGAAGAAAGGGCAGATGCTGTGGTGAGCTGGCACTGCACTGGTATAAACACACTGGTCAAATTAAAGTAACACGATATAAATATTACTATGAGCTTATGCAACATGTCTACTTTGGAGATTTACATTAGTGTAACTGAATATATTATTTTACTGGTGTAAAATTTCTCTATATAAGTCTTAACATAGCAGTTGATCACCTGATGGTGAATTAGGGCAAATAGTGGGATACTGGCAACCATTTTGACATATTCTTCATTTTACTAGAAACCCTATAGAAGTCAGGAAAGACCTGAGGAAGAATTTACCTTGGGCCAAACTAGGTTGGGACTAAGAATCTCTACACCCAACTGCAGAGTTGCCCCAGGCAGGCTAATCAGGGCTGCCGTAATTTCCTGGGACTAATTTATGTGGAGCAGTACATCAACCCCAAAACTACCCACAGGCTTTAAAACACAAAAGTTTTTTGAGCACTGGTGCCTCTTAGAAGACTTTTGTTAAGGGTTGGGAAAAGCTTTTAGTTTTATTGCAACTCCCTCCCTCCCCCCTGCTCTGAAGGCAACCCCAAAAATATCTGCCTTGTAAATTAGATATTTTTAAATGCCATCTAAAGTTAGTTTAAATTTGGTGAGGTCTAAAAATATGATGGTTACACTCTAAGAAACCTAATGAAAAATATAATTTTTTCTGTTAATGACAACAGTAGCAGACTATATAGCCTAATTGTTTTATATTATTTGCTGCAGGATTATCAGACCCCCAACAAATTCAAGAGAGTGTAAAAAAAGCAATTCAAGAAAAATACCCATTATACAATCTTGGCTTTGGCTATGGTGTTGACTATAATTTTTTAGAAAAGTTGGCATTGGAGAATAAAGGATTGGCTCGCCGTATCTATCCAGATTCTGATTCAGCCATACAACTGCAGGTAAAGCTATAGCTATCTAAATTAGATCACCATTTTTTTTCTACTTCCTCTGTAGTTGAAAAGGAAAATATAGCTAGATCTTGGGTCAGTGTCTTCACCCCAGTGATCAGGATTTAACTGCAGCAAAATTTTCCCCTTTTTTCACACAGGTGCAAAAGTGGAGCAACTGTAAATTGGGGTGGCAGTGTGATCTATTGAGTACTGTATGACACAAGACACCAACAGGCCATGTTCTAAAGTATACTCTAAAGTGACTTATATTCATTTTGTGTCTTCCTCATTCCTAAACCAAACACAAAAATGGAAGAAGAACTTATGCCTTCTGGGTTTTATTCCCAACTCTGTCGTTAACTTTTGTTGTGCCATCCTGAGCAAGTCAGATGGAACTGTAAACTCATATATGCATGGTACTTGGCCCATAAAGATGAAGGAGTTTTAAAGGCATATTTTCTAATGCCCTCTGATATCTTAGCCATTCTTGGCAGAACTGGCTTCCTGTGCTTTAAATTATTTTAAATTATTATGGCATAATAACTACTGAGTGACCAGTCCACAAGATCAGGTGGTCATCAACAGAGATCCAGCTACCCCATCCCTACTATTTTGGGGTTTTTCTTCAATGATTAGCTTATTTTGTCTGAGTTTGTATTTTGATTTCAATTCCTATAGGCAATAGGGCTAGAGACTTACCTTTATAAAATGTAGGGTACTAGGACTCCTGTCTTGTGGTGAGGTATAGTAAGGTTTATGGCAGAAGGGATCTGCAGCAACTGTTCTTTTATCTGTTATCACAGGGGTGGGCAATTGCTTGGGCCTGTGGGCCATACAGGGGGTTTTAGTGAGCGGTCGCAGGCTAGGTCAGCACTACCGCCCCCCTCCCGAACCACCCCACAATGGCTCACCAAAACTCAGTAAGTGGTCAATCCCATTGGCACATTGGGCAGCATGTGCTAGGTGGGAGTTGCACAATGGGGACTGTACTGGAGTCATCACACAGTAGGGGCAATCAGGAGCCACAGCTCTGTGAATGCAGCCAGTCACTGCTGGGCTTTTGTCCTGAGGTGCCTGGCACAGGGTCCTACCCTGCAGCCCATGTCAGGCACCAACACTCTCTCCCATTGCTAGGACAGGCGGGAGGGAGTGGCTGTCCTGGTGCTGGGGCTCTGACTTTGAAGCCAGCAACCACCCCTGCTCTCTTGGCAGGTGTGTCTAGTGTCATTGGGCATCCCACTCTGAGCTGCCCTCTTTACTTGGCCTGGGAAGAGCCAAGAGACCCACTGCAACCTGGGCAAAACTCTCCATGGGCTGGATCTGGCCCACAGGCTGTATTTTGCCCACCCCTGTATTATCATCTATTATGTTACTCTGGGTGAGGCTGAAGAACTTGCTGTTTTCTTCTTTGTTTGTTCCTGCTCTTATTTCATGGAATATGTTTTTTATTTCTTATGTTATGTCTTAGTTTTGTTTGTAAAAATGTTAAGAGGTCTTTGGGTACAGGAGTGCATATCAGTTTGATTAATAATAGTAATAAGCCGTGATTCCTCACTTTACCCTAGGGTTTTTATGATGAGGTGTCCAATCCAATGCTTTCAGATGTGGAATTGAACTACCCTGAAAATTCAGTATCTGACTTAACTAATAACAACTTTAAACACTTTTACGATGGATCTGAAATTGTGGTAGCTGGACGCATTGTAGATAATGATCTGAACAGTTTAACTGCAGATGTGAAAGCTCAAGGTGTAAGTATGGGGCTGGTTTGATTGTTTAAGGCACTATACTCATGAAATATCTGAATGTAGGAGGATTTAGATTTGCTAGTGCTTAAAAATGCATAAGTACTCTTTAATTCAATGCAAAGATATATTATTGCACACTAGTGAGAATTTAAATGGACCAGAAGTATGACATTTAAAACATTTGGCTACATTTTTCTTTTCCTTACAGTAGTATCAAACTGGAGTACATGTGAATATATAAGACTTGCTATCAGAAACCTCAAGTCAACAATTTTTTGGCATCTAAATTATCTACCTCATAGTTGTCAAATGTAGGGCCCATGGGCCAGGTCAATCCCATGGAGTCATATGATCCAATCTGTGGGTCTCTGGACCAACCCCATGCACCACATGGGGCACATGTAGTATAAAGGGATAATCCAGGGTGTGTGCTGCATGAGGTGCCCAGGCCAGACCAACTCTATACACTAGCTCTAGGACTAGTCTGGATAGGGCCATACCAGAGCCACCACACAGGGCTGGTTTGGGAAGCGCTGCATCCACTGTATGCCCCATGTTGGCTTCCTGTGCTGTACGTAGTGTGCGTGGCCAGTTCACCCTGTGCGCCACTTGCAGCACATGGCGGCCCCTGGGCTCACTCTGCATGCGACGCATGGGCTGCGCCTGACTGGACCAACCCTGCTTGCTGGCTCTGGCAGGCATGGGTGACTTGGGGCCCTATCTGGCACAGGGCCTGTCTGTCATGGGTGCCACATACAGCCCACACCTGAGAGCTCCTGTGCTTCATGCAGTGCCAGGCCCAGCCTGCACACTGCATGCACTGTAAACCCCAGAGTGGGGCCAGCACATTCTGTATGCAGTGTGCATGCTGGACCTGGTGCTGCAGGTCCTAATCTAGCCCAATCTGCAGACTGGTCCAGCAACTCCCATCTGGCCTATAGATAGGGCTGGATGTGTTTGACACCCTGATCTACCTTATCATTTCATTAACATAGTATTTAATATGATTTGAGGAACACTGCTTTTTCCCAAGGGCATTTTTGAAAAGTCTTCCCCTGAAAATAGAATCCTACTGCTACTAAATACTGAGTGATCTAAAAGTAATTTCCAGCATTCTAGTAAAAGCTCCTCCTGTCAATAATATTTAGGGTTCAGATACACCTGTCTGTTACACCAAAAAGTTTTTGTTATTTCTAACAGGCAGACAATGATGTAACATTTATTGCACAAGGAGATGTCAAAGAAATAACTGAAGCTCTCCAAGAACAGGAGTACATCTTTGGGGATTACACTGAGAGACTCTGGGGTTATCTTACCATTCAACAGTTATTGGAAAAACGGTAACTAAAATATAAAATTACATTTTCTGTGAAAGAGTGTGAAGACACTAGGCAGTTTAATATGTCTTGACAGATCCCGAAAGTTTAGATCTGCTTGACCTAAGGAAGAATGCACTGCATACAGAAGTTTGGCTAAGTCTCTCCCAATCATGCAACTGGTCCAATAAAATACATCACCCACAAAAATCCTTGCCTTACATACATTTCTTGGACTACAGTAGCTACAATATTAGTCAAACAATACCTAAACTGCTTATCTACTTCACCTTCTATTACACAAATACACTTGGGGGGAAAAACATAAGGAAAATCTTTTAAGAATTTTCTCCCTTAATATTCTCTTTTCAGATTAATTTTAATTGAATGCAAACACAAAGTCAGTTTATGACTACCTGCCTCCTACTCTCTTTCCTCCAGCTACAAGGGATTAAGAAATATTTTTACAAGGACATATGTATTCCCTTTATCTAAGTCTCTAGAGAGAAATGTATATCTCTATTACAGAGGGAAAATATAAGTTTTAATAATTTGTCTTCTCAGAAAATTTAAATTCTGATTCTCTCTCTGCCTTCAGCATTGCAGCTACTGGAGATGAAAAAGAGAATCTTACAGCTAAAGCCCTGGAGCTCTCTCTGAAGTATAAGTTTGTGACACCTTTAACTTCCATGATTGTAACAAAGCCAGAAGACTATGATAATCAAGCTGGACTTGCTGATAAACCAATAGAAGGTACAGACATTTTCATAGCTTGTATTTACTAAGGGAAGCCAAATTACTATTTGGCTTTCCCTAAAATAAGGGTTTTTGCAATAGGGCAAATTTTTAAATATATATCTGCATATAAATTCCTGTTCCATTTCCTTAGTCTGGGAGCTCCCCCCAGCCCTGGTTCCACAACCATTTCAGTCTTGGAGTTGGGGCCTTCTACTGTTCCTGGGGCTTCTACATCTTCCTTTAGTGTGGCTAGCTGCCACTTCTCTTTCCCTTAGTCCTTCACTGGACCAGACCAGGAGGGGAGTATACAGCTAGTCATTCTTGCAAGAGACTTTTTCTCACAAGGAAAACCTTTCAGGCTAAGATCTGGAAGATCTTTCTCCTGCAAAAAGCATGTTTCCTCTGGGAGAAATTGAATGAACACTTGGATGCTTGTAGTTTCTACTGGGAGAGTGGCAATTCTCTTGGTTGGAACATAATGCCTGTATGTGGCCTCTGTCTGAAGTCCACCTTATAAACTAACTGAATCAGAGATACATAAGCTTTCATGAGCATGAGCTAACTTCATCAGATGTTATGCAAGGACATACCATTCTTTACAGAGCTACTTTCCAAGCACACAGATGGGTTACAGATTCAGGCACAGTCATCAGTTGTACTAGAACTGTAAAGGATCTCATCAAATGAGGGATGGGATGGGATTTAACATGGACAAGTGTAAGGTGATGCACCTGGGGAGGAACAACAGGCACCACACATACAGGCTGGGGAACTCCCCTCTTGTCAGCACGGAGGTGGAAAAGGATCTGGGAGTCATTATTGACTCCAGGATGAACACGAGTCGGCAATGTGGGGAGGCGGCTAGGAAGGCCAACTGCACCTTGTCGTGCATCCACAGATGCATCTCGAGCAGGTCCAAGGAGGTGATCCTCCCCCTCTATGCGGCACTGGTCAGGCCGCAGCTGGAGTACTGCGTCCAGTTCTGGGCGCCGCACTTTAAGAGGGATGTGGACAGCATGGAGAGGGTCCAGAGGAGGGCCACTCGTATGATCAAGGGACAGCAGGGTAGGTCCTATGAGGAA